CCAATTAAAAACAAGAACTGCCCTGTTCCCAAAGCCCTATCAACTGAACCTGGACAACTCCATGTAAATTACAAAGGACACTCATGCCTGACATGTAGGCCACACAGAGAGTTCACCCAGACACCCAATGTCATAACCAGAAACATTCAAAATGCAAACCAGGATGAGAAGTTGGCAACATGCCTTAAGCTTTTCCCAAGACATCAGAATTAAGACTCCCTATCATAATGAGACTCCTATCCATCTTATTTTTCCTCGTTTATGCCTGTCTTTTTCTCTTGACAGGATAATGCTGTAGTTGGAATTTCATAATCGGTAGCTTCTTTAGAAAACTGATAAAATGTTGGATCTATCATGCCAAACCCAGTCATGGGACTCTAGATAACAGAAGTGCTACCTACTAGCTGAACAGGAAAGAATCTGTGCAGTTGCTAACACTTCTTGTTGCACGTGGATAAACAGAATTAACAGGCTGCCTGGCTAAAACAGGTAGATTCCCTGTCTGGCTCATTCTTTGATCTAAATGATTTTAGTTGGTTTGATTCATGGGACCCTGGCTAACAGCATACTCCAAACTCTTGGTATTATCCTCCTCATGGTCATTAGTCATAATAGTAGTCTCCCTGGTGCACTGTATCCTCTCAAAAAAGTATTAAATGTCTACATGAAGCTATGAATGCTAAATTGTCTCTCTCTGGCTAGAATGATAGAAACTCCAAGAAATACTTAATAACACAGACACCAAAACCCATGACTTTGTAAGGCTGAAAACCCACAATGATGGTGAGTGAGAGTACTGCTGATGCCCTAAGTTTTGGGGAAAAAGGAGAATTGTTAAATAAAATTTAGGAGGTTATTGGTTTGGACTGAGAGCCTGCACTATAAGAGACCAAACCAACATGGCAGCGTTAGCCAGCAGGATAAGGAAGTCCCCAGTGCTTTAACCTTTACGAGAAAAGTAACTTTGAAATGACCAAATCCTCTTCTTATTTTCTGTTTCTGTTTTCCTCATCCCTTTTCTGTCTTAAAAACCAACCTTCTCTGCTCAGCCCACCAGAAAACTCATTCTATTTTTATAGATTCTGTAATCTATTTTATAGATTCTGTAATCACAGGAAAAGCCAATTCAGATCTTTAAATCTGTTGTAACTTGTCTTTTGACAATACCACCCTTTTAGTCCCCAGATCCCATCCATTCCAAAGTGCTATTTCCATTTTACCATCCAGATACCCAGGGAATCTGCCCCACTGCCACCACCCTCATCTAAGCTGCTATCATCTGCCTGGAAATACAACTCAGCCTACGAATTTCACTCTTACCTCTCCAAGGCCTTCTCCACTGAAGCCAGCGTGATCTTGTCATCTTGTCAAAGCACAAATCTGCTCTCCTCTCTCAATCTATCTCTTTCACAGACAAGCACACACACCACTGAAAATACTTAATGGCTATTTAACTTGCCAGCGCTCTCAAACTCAAGGCTCAGACAGGGCCTATGAAGTGCATCTCACCCTACCCCAAACTGCCTCAGGGTCTATGCCCATTGTTTTCACCTAGATACCCCTTCCACTGATAAAATAAGCCCTAGCAGGATTTCTAAGCATTTGCACAATATAAGCCCTACCCAGAAAAAAAGACCTAGTGATGGGCGTGGCTACGCAATGTATCTGCACAACCCATGCATTTCAGAGCGGTAAAGAAGACGAGCATCCGCCCCATGAGAGCTCTAGTGCTCGACATGAGAGATCAGAGCCAATGGTTCTAAAGGAAATAGAGTCACAAGAAATTCAGGATGAAATTTGGGGTTTGGAGAGTTATGATGATGTTCCAGAAGACGACGACTTAACTATATTTGAATAAATGTAGATTGTTGTACCGTACTTAAAAAAATAACACATCCCCTGAAAATAAGCCCTAGGGTGTCTTCTTGAGGAAAAATAAATATAAGACCCTGTCTTATTTTCAGGGAAACCCGGTAGTACCCCCTCCCTCTCCAAGGGCCCACCTCACACTTCACCTAGCTCACTCTGACTTGCCCTTCAGATCTCATCTCTGATCTTTCACAGTATTTATGAAACTGTGATTATATGTGAGGGGAGTTATTTCAGTTTCTGCCTTTCTCAATCAGGGTTCCAGCAGAGACTGAAGGCATCCACTGAGGCGTCCACTGGAGGTAATGAATCAACTCCTCTCCTATGCGTCTAGAAGGACACTAGCCACTGACCATCCCTGGAAGATCTGAGGGAATAGTCACAGCTCTGTGTTCTGTGGTTCAAGTGAGGAACCCAGGCTTGGAAAGATTTGTGCCTAATAGTATTTGACACACAGTAGGTACTAAAATGTTTGTTGACTGAAAATTAAACAGGATATCAAAGAACTGCCACTTAATGCCTCAATTCCTTTCACTGCATTAGGATTCCTAAGGTTTAAAACTCAAGCCAATAATCGTCTCAGTGTAAGGCCTCACCTCACCTATCTCCTCACTTGCATAAGACCATTTAAACCACTGGAATCCCACTGAACACCACAAACAGCACAATAGCCAATAGTGGTTGGGTATTGCTCGGGAAGGACAGGGGCATCCCGCACCAAGCACACTCTCTGGAGCCAGGAAAAGTGGAGCCAATCCCAGCTGGCCCACTTGGTATAACCTCGAGCAAGTCATTTAACCCCCAAATCTGTTTCCTACCCATAAAGAGGGATAAATACCACCATTTTAGCCACAGCTCTTTGGTGGCAAGGAGTAGAAACCCAATGACACTTGGTTCACCTAAAAAGGAAGGTGTGCCGGGCGTGGTGGCTCACGCCTGTAATCCTAGCACTTTGGGAGGCCAAGGCGGGAGGATTGCTCAAGGTCAGGAGTTCGAAACCAGCCTGAGCGAGACCCCGTCTCTACCAAAAATAGAAATAAATTAATTGACCAACTAAAAATATATAGACAAAAAATTAGCCGGGCATGGTGGCGAATGCCTGTAGTCCCAGCTACTCGGGAGGCTGAGGCAGTAGGATCGCTGAACCCCGGAGATTGAGGTTGCTGTGAGCCAGGCTGACGCCACGGCACTCACTCTAGCCTGGGCAACAAAGTGAGACTCTGTCTCAAAAAAAAAAAAAAAGTAAAAAGGAAGGTGTAAGATAAACGAGAATGCAAGGAAAGCCCCACCTAGAAGTCAGGAGGAGTTAGAAGGAAGAAAGCAGCCCTGAGAACCAGCACTCCCCACCTCTCCCTGCTTCATGGCCTTTCTGGACTAGGATCCATTTTCAATCCAAGTTTACTCTCTTTGAGAGCTCAATCGCTCCTACAACTTTAGGGAAAAGCTTTCAGTTAGCAAAAATTGTGCCTCAGACAAACATTATTGGCTACAACACTGCCACTATGCAAAGCTTGCCCTTAGGACTTTAAATACAATCTACATGCCACAATGCCCCAATTTACACCTCTCATCCAAACAGTATGTATCTAACTGTCCACTCAGTACTTCCACTTGGATATCTACAAGGCACTTCCAGTTGAACATGACCAAGCTGAACTCTTGGTCTCTCCCGATGACCTGCTCCCTAACAGCCTTCCCCATCAGAGCTGACAGCAACTGCATCCTTAGTTAGCTGCTTGGGCCAGAAACCTTGGAGTCATCCTTGATTCTTCTTTTCCTCCCAGAAACCACATTCAATCTGTTAGGAAATCCTGTTGGCTCTCATTTTCAAAACACACTCAGATCCAACCACTTCCCCACATCTCTGCTGTCCCACCTGCATCATTGCACCAGCTTCCAGAAGGTTCTGCCTCTGCACTGGCTCCCTTTATTCCCAACACAATACAGTGATCTTCACAAAACCCAAATCAGACCACTACCCTGCTCTGCTTAGAACTCTGCAACAGCTGCCCATTTCCCTTGTGATAAAAGCCAAGTCCTTGCAACGACTCTAAGGCTGGCACACTCCTGCTCACTTTTGCCTGGTCGCTGCTCCCTGAACACTCCTGCCTGACCTCCTGCCTAGAATGCCTGTGCCCCAGACATACCGTTGGCCAACTCCCTGGCCTTCTCCAAGACATTACACAAACATCACCTCTTAATGAGGCCACATCACTCACCCTACTTAACCCTTGACCCCTGGAACTCCTGACACCCTCTTTATCCTGCTGCACACAGCACTTATCACCTTCTTACACACTTCATGTATAATCCACTAACGGATAAGGTTTATTGTCCATTGTCCATTTTCCCCTACTAGAAATGTCAGCTCCACCAGATCTATAACCCAAGTGACTAAAACAATGCCTGGCACGCAGCAGAGGCCTAATCAACATCTGTTAAATAAGTGCGTGAACATGCTTCTTTTGAGTTATTGCTCCTTCCTAACTTGGGAGCACGTGGCGGCTGCTTGGCTCTAATTCTGTAAGACTCTTTAGCTCAAATGCCCACCAATGATTAGAATGTCTCTCTTCCCGGTTCAAATTCCTCAGGTGGAACCAATGGGCCCAGCTCATCTTTCCAAAGTAGACCACACTCATAGGTCAACGGCCAGCTGCCCCTGGAGAAGCCATTTAGTGCAGAAAGTCCTGTGGGAAAAACTGAGAAAGAGCAAAGCCACCTGGAGCTCTCCTCTGTGGGAGCAAATGCTCCCCATGGGGTGCACACATGTGGCTGTTACGGCTGTTACAGCAGAGGCCACACCAAGCATCAGTGAAAGCCAAGACAGACGGGATCAGGAGCAAGTTGGATCAAACCAGGTATTTAGCTCCCAACCCTGGCCTCATGGGAGGAGGCGGCTGCTGAGGGGATTACATGTATTTCGATGTCTGCCCCACCTAGAAGTTACTCCTTCTAAGTTCCCTTAGGTAATTTAATCACCCTTCCATCTCATCCTAACCATAAACAGATTTGCTGATTTATGTAACTGGCACAGACACCTAAAATGTCTTTTAAAAATCCATTAAACTCTGCAGGCAAGCAGACATTCTTTAGAGTTCCTCACTGCTCCCCATTCACTGCTTTACAATCACCTTATGGGCAGAGTGATGCACACTAGCCGGGCAGTTCTAGCTCACGGTCTCTCATGAAGCTGTAGTCCAGATGTTGGCCAAGGCTGCAGTCACCTGAGGCTTCACTGGGCTGGAGGATCTGCCAAGAAGTTACATGATAAATACGCAGCAGGACTGCTTAGCTTACCACGTGCCATTGGCAGGAGGCCGCAGATCCTCACCCTGTGGCCTCTCCTCACATGGCAGCTGGTCTGCCCCAGAGCAGGGGATACTGGAGAGAAAAGGAGGTAGAAGCCACAATGACTTCTATGACTTCTGCTGTCTTCTGCTGGTCACGGGGATCAGCTATGACCCAGCATGGGAGGGGACTGCACCTGGTGTGAGCACTAGGAGGTGGAGGTCACTGTGCCACCTTGGAGAGGGCCTTCCACAGTCTGCTCATATAGACCAAGGACTGTTTTTGAAGGACTCAGAGCTCACAAAAGGATTTTACATTCTAAAAGGTTATAAAAAAGAAAATGAAGAAGTACATATGACGGAGACTATGTGTGACCTGCAAAGCCTAAGATGTTTACCATCTGGCTCTTCACAGAAAAAGTTTGATGACCCCCAATGTAGACTGTATACTACAGACAATTTACGGGATTTTCCAAGAGTAATTCTGACTCTATGAAATGTTCTGACGTTAGAATCTAAACCCCCAAGTGAGCAATTCTACTGTTCAGTAAATGTAGCTCTGAAAATTGTAATATAATGGCAACCACTAAGAAATGAACAACTCATCATAACCTGAACAGAGAGAAAATAATCAACAGTTCCTTGCCCATAAGTAGGTGCCTGATAAATACAAACTCAGTGAATGAATGACTAAATGAGTAAGAAATACTACAATGGCACATCTTGAAAGTATGCAGCGATCCTGAAAGTATGGAAAATCTTTAACCAATGTTATTTACAACATAAACACAACAAAGCCTGAAGTTTACATAATAACAATTGCAGCTGAAATGTATCAAGTGCTAACTTTATGCCAAGTATTGCCAAGTATTCACTCCTCCTCACACTCTACAGCAGCAGGTATCATTAGCTGCCTTCACTTTACAGATGAGCAAATTGAGACTGACAGAAACTAAGTAACTTCCCAAGAAGTCACATGATAAATAAACAGCAGGACTACTTACTGCTATGGCCAACTACATTAAAAATGAAAACCGACTCTGCATCCCGAATCTCATGCCTGAGCATCAGCGTGGCCCGTGCCTCTCCTCCATGAGCCAACCTCCGTCCCTCCCTCCCTGACACTCCGCTTGCTGGGATCCCAATCCAGGGACTTTAAGAAGGGCAAAGCTCCGGGCTCCCTATATAAGCAAGGTTATAGAGACCTGAAATGCTTGACTGAACCTAATGACTCACTGATGTGCTCCTTCTACCCAAAGAGAGTTTCTAAACATTATTTTTTACTGAGGTCTGGGCTTTCCAACCAAAGGTCATCTTTTCTAATATTGTGGAACCAACACAAGATAGGCCGCCTCTCCAGCTGCCTTCCTAAACAAGTTCAGTGGCCAGCAGCTGCTCCAGTCCGGGGCCAACAAAGTTTTGACACTCTAATGAGGAGGGCAAAGAGAATGCTGCAGCTCTTGCAGGCAAATTGAAGGACACAGAGATCGGGACTCAGGACACACCATAACCACTGCACACAGAATTGAGCTCTAGGCCAGTAGTTTCCTATGTGGACATAAAGAAGTCTCCCTTTCCCTGATTGGCCTCTGAGATGATCCAGCTTGTCCACTCTTCACAAACTCATGAACCTCAGAGATGCAACTTGCCCAAGGCTACACAACCAGCAGCAGAGCCAAAGTTCCCTGACGCTAACTCAAATCTTTCCACTTTTTGGATTCTGCTATTGAAAAGCTTGAAGCCCGGTTGGTGGAGGAGACAGATGCTGATTACAACAGATTCTGAAGGGAGGGAGACTTGAGCAGAGGAGGCTAATCTTGGACTAGAGGCAGGACGTCCCCTTATCAGGGACAGAGGAGCAAGGATAAAGGCAGACACAGTAAGTCAGAAGGCCTGGAGCCAAGGAGGGTTTGAAGGGGGACTTGAGTGACTATGCGGATAGGACAGTCAGCTTACTAAGGACAAGCAGAAAGACTGTCAAAGGGCACTTAGGGACCAGCTGAGAGCAGAGACATGAATATGTGTCAAAAGAAGCCCTAATGACACACCACTGTAACCTCAATGGGATTCTAATAAATACATTTGTCCAATCCCACGCAGTAAACATGCAAGCCACACAAGATAATCAGCTCCCTCTGTCCATTCTGGTTATGAGATGATAATCATCTACAAAAAAATTATTCCTGTGCCTAACAAGAAAAGCGAGGAGGCATCATTCCACTCTGCTCTTATAAACAGTCACTATCAGGAAGATAGAATAGAGAAGAAAGGGATTTTGACATCAGAGAGGTTAGGTTTGGGTCCTAATTCTGCCACTTACTAGCTGCGTGATCTTGAGGAACTTGCTAGACCATCAGTGACTCTGTTTTCTCATCTGTGAAACAAATACTACCTACCACAAAGAACTCTAGTGAGGGTCAAATACAAGATGCTCAGCTCACAGAAAGCTGTGACAGACAGTTTGCAAAACGGCCAAACGATTCCCCTCCTTGTATACATACTTCTTTGCAAGGTGACCTTACAGTGTCCCATCATGAGAGGTGGGGGCAGAAGGGAGGGGTCTCTCCCTCCCTGCTCCTTGGATCTGGGCTGGCCTGTGATGTGCTTTACCCAAAGAAATGACGTGGAGGTGACACAGTGCTGGTGCTGACCTGGGGCTGTAGGGCGCCCTGTAAGTCTCCTGCTCTCTGGGAACCTGCCAGTCTCCAGGTGAGTGACCCTGGGCTGGCCTGCTGGAGGCATAAAGACTAGCCTTTTCAGCAGCTGACTCCAGACACTTGAGGAACCCCAGGTGAGAAATGGAGCTCAGCAGTCTAGCCTAACCTGCCAACTGCAGAAACATAAACTAAATGCCTGGTTGTTATTTAAGTCTCCTAAATACTGGGGTGACTTGTCAGCAATGACTGACTGCTAGAGTGATACTCAGTGAAACAAAGCTATGATAATTACAACTTCTCTCTTGTCCAGCAATTCTCTCCGTCATCATTGATTTTTCCTTCCCTACTGGATCATTCCCATCAGCACTCAATTGTGCCATTATCTCATCCTACATGAAAACCTTCCCTTGACCCCCACCACCTCAGCAACTACCACCTTGTGTCTTTGCTCGCCCTTACAGCAAAACTCCTCAAAGAAGTGTCCGTGCTCCCTGTAGCTAATTTCTCTCCGCCAACTCTCTTTTATACTTTCTGCCCCAGCACTGCACTGAAACTTCTTATCACGGTCCCCAATGACCACCAGTCCTCAGGTGCCTTGACCCAAATCGCATGATGTGTCACCATGGCTCCCTCTCTGCCGCCTCCTTGATAACACTTTCTGCACTTGGCTTCTAGGACACCAGCCTCCTGGTTTCCCCCTCCATCCTGGAAGGTCTTTCTAGGCCTCCACTGGTCCTCCCACCTCCTTTACCTCCTAATGCTGGAGTGTTCTGGGGCTCAGGCCTCAGGCCCCTTCTTTTCTCTAACTCCCTTCCCTGGTAATCCCGCCCAGTCTCATGGCTTTACACACCATCTTTATGTCAACTGACAACTACTCTCAAAAAAGCTTAGACTTCTTTTCTGAACTACAGATTTTAAAACTCATGGCCTAATGGCCACTTCCCTATAGATCGCTAACAAACATCTCAAACTCCATCTGTGTCAAACATAGCTCCCGATTGTGCCCCCCAACCTGCACTGTAATGCCAATCTTCCAGATACACAGGCGAAAAATATCCTGGACTCCTTTCTCTGTCCCACGCCATACCCAATCCCTCAGCAAATCCCATTAGTTCTTCCATTCAAAGTCCTTTCCATCACCTTCAAGGCCTGGTCTCCTCTGCTGTCACTCTCTCCGGTCTACTCTGCTCCAGCCACACATTCCCATTCCAGGCCCTCCGCACTTCCTTCTAGAGTGCTCTTGCTCAGACATCAGCAACACTCAGGCTGTTCCTCACCTCTGAGCACTCCCTCCCTTTCAATCCTATGCAAAACTAACAACCCTCTTCCCTGGCCCTGGACATCCTATCCCTTTCCCTGTCTTCTCTATATGATGCCTATCACCCAAAAGTCTATATATTTTACTTATTTATATATAAACTATGAATTCCAGAGGGTAGCCATGTTTTAAAAATTAGGTATCCCCCTGTGCCTAGAACAGTGCCTGACACAGGACCTATTCAATAAATATTTGTTGGATGATCAATCAATGAACATAGAAACAATGGATTTTTTTAGTACTGTGTCCCATTTAATGGTAATGGAAAAATACTGAAAGCCTCTACAGACAATCCCATCAGTTTCTTCAAACCTTCCATCATCTATTTTTTCCTTATTATAGTGACAGGAAAGACCATTTTCACAGATGAAGACCTGAATGTGTGCGTGACAGACTAGAGACCACTCAGCCAGCAATGCCAATCACAAACCTGAGGCAGCTGGAGGATGATATTTAAGGCCTCTTCTGGCCAGAAAATTAGAAGATTCTTTGACCTTTTGTAACTGTGAGTGACCTGCTTCTGATTTCCAGAGTAACGACGACTGAAGAGAATACCCAAACCAAAAACCACAGGTTACAGGTTGGCAAACTTCTGCCCACAGCTTACAAGTAAAGAATGGTTTTCATATTTTTAAATGGTTTCATTTTAAATGAAACCATTTAAATAAATAGTGTCTACATAACAGTAGACATTTTGCTTCTTGGCCCTACAAAACCTAAAATATTCACTATCTGGCCCTTTAAGAAATTTACTGACCCCTAGGAGCAAACTCCTTGGCTGCAGTCCACAAGGTCCCCTGAAACAGTCATCCCGATATTGTGACACACAGTGACTTCTGAAACCAAATGCCTTCACTGAAGAGAAATTTGATAGGTAATTAGATATTAAGTGGCCACTGGCCATTCCTATTATCTTAAATAACGGCGACACCCTCTATACAGCTGGAAAAGAAATAGCCAAAGACGGAAATGTATTTTACGCAGGTTCCCAGGGTAAAGCATATCCTAAAGCCAATGGCTAGCGATAGACATTGTTCTAAATTTGGAGATATCTGATGACAGAGCCAAGTTTCCTTCCCTTTTCTTACCCACACCCAAAACAACACCCCACATTTCTCATGAGAAAAATTCCTTAACACTTATGATTTCCATTTCCTACATCTGATCTTTCCCTTAATAAAAATCCAATTTATGGGATGCTTGAATTACATATCAATTGCTCACAAATGGAAGCCCCTAATGTACACAGTCTTTTAGTGCCATGCCTGGCACACAGGAAACCACTGGTATTTCTCTAATATTATATTCCAACATGGTATTATTGTATCACATTACATATTACATATAAGATACAATATATAATGTATTGCACACACAACATACTGAACAAGTATTCTATAACATGTAAATATAAATATAAAATATGTAATCATAACATATGTTTTGTTGTTTTATTACATACATTATTACATCATTACACTGCTATCCTAGCATAGGAGACACAAAGCTACAAACTAACTGCAGGACTTCAGACAAGTCACTTCATTTCCCTAAGCCTCAATTTCTTCATTGGTAAAATTGGGGAATCGTGTTAGAAGATTTTTACTGTTCCCTTCTAGCTTAAGATTTCTGTGATTCCAAAAGCATGTTAAATAACTTAGCTTGTTCTCCTACCCTGAACCTATTTATTATTATATCCCAACACAGCTTCGAACCTTGCTAATAAGCAGGACTAGACATGGTCTTCATCCATTACTCTAACACACCGATGTGCTGCGCTAGTTGATCCAAACTGCCCTCACAGCAAGCTGTTTAATACTGTATATACATCTTAATAACCACTGAGTTGGAGCTTCCATCATGTGTGAGCGCTGGGGAAAACGGGAATGAGTCAGCCCTCAACAGAAGCAGTGAAGAGGAAGAGCTGGGTCACTGGTCACACTGACTAAGAGCCAGTATTACACTGACCATGCTAATAATACTTCTGGGCTCGCTCTGTCTCTGTCATGTGAGGAAATTAAAGTGTTTAATAATCGTTGTTCTAGGAGGCAGAAGAAAAGGCCATGATGGTAAGTGCGTATCCTTAAACGAAGCCTCATGTCTCTTCTCTATGAAACTCAACACTTGGATGACACTGAGTCAAGCCTACAGCAAAGGACTGTGGGAAATCAGAATTTTATAACAAAAATGGACTCAGCACTGATAATGGCTTTTGAAGTTCCTAGAACCTTTCCCTGAGCCCCATGCCATCAGATAACTCATCACAATGGCATTAGATAAGTATAGTTCAAGTTTTATAAGAGGAGCAATTTTAAGATGACAATATTCAATGCTGATGTGCATGTGATTGACTGTAAATTTCTGTTACTACTCATGACAATGTTAACAGATATATCTCTTTTGGAAAACAACATGGCAAGAAATCCTTAAAGCTACTTCTATGTTCCTGTCTTGGGAACTTTACACTGGTAACTTATCCTAAGGAAATCACTCAACTATATTAATGAGGTTATTTACTGCTACCTTACTGGTACCAGCAAAAAAAGGGAAACAATTTCAATATTCAATATGAATGTTGAAGTTATGCAACATTAACATGATGGAATGCCACAGTCATTATAGTAGCTATGAGGACCACACAGAAGCATGAAATTAAAGAAAAAAACCAATTATCTGCACATGATTACAACTACATGAAAAATATGTATGTATGTGCAGCAGCTCTGGAAGAGAATAACAGCACCAGCTAACACTTTTGTTGCCTATGCTGTAGGTCCTTTAAGTTTAGGCACTCAACATTCATTGTCTTCTTTGCATTTTGTCAATTTGTTCCAATATTTTCCTTGAATAATATAACATCATTTCAATTAAAATAAAATGTAACTTCTCTATATTTGACCTCTAAGTAATAATAATAATAATAAACACTTACTGGACACTTACTACATGCCAGTCACTGTTCTAAGCACTTTACATACACAGACTCCTTGATCCTCACGCCACCCTATGAGGGAGGTGCACTATTTGCAGCACATACAATTGAGGCCCAGAAGTTAAGTAACTTGCCCATGGTCAGCCAACTAGAAAGTGGGAGAACAGGAACTCTACCCTGCCGCCTGGGCTCCAGAGTTCAAAAAAAATTTTTTTCAAAGAAATTCAACACCACAAAAATCACACCTATGACCCTGGAGCTCAGCGGGACCTGCTCAGTAGGTACTGAACACTCTGGGAGCTTGCTAAGAAAGCCAGTGACCAGTGCTGATGGTTATTGCTTCATAGCCCTCAAGGGGGCCATTAAGATCATCAGGCACATGATACCTCCAACTGAGAGAAGGAAAGGGTTAGAGAACTACCTAAACTCACACAGCTAGCAGGTTCTAGGTCAGAGCCAGGCCTATGATCCATGTTCACGCACCTGGTAAATCCAGGGTTCTTTCTACTACGCAATGTGTGATAACAAGAATTACTACTATTTCTTAAATGTTTACTGTATGCTAAGGGCTATAATCCCTTTATATGAATTACCTTATTTAATTCTCACAATAGTCCTTCGAAGTAGCTATTATTATTAATTTCATTTAGAGATCAGGAAACAGGCTTGGAAATGTGAGGTAATTTGTTTTGCCTTACTATTAGCTACAAGGCACTGAGCTAGTGGTCGGAGTGCAGCACTCAGTCCTTGGGCGCTCTGGATCAATATTAATTAGCTGGCACGCGGGCATCAAGCTGTTGAGATGCTTCTTCACTATCTAGCAAGTAGAGGCAAGTCTAAACACCTTTACTGGCTGGAATCCAAACATTTCTAAATTTGCCCCTTTAGTGGAGCAAACTCTGGCAGGCGGAACTGAGGCAAATCCTCAACCCACCCCCACCACCCACCCCCATCCGCAGCCCACCCTCTCCTGTCAATCTCCTTCCCGGCACAGCAAACCCACAGCCAGCACAGGCCCGTGGGCTGAAGCCTTTTATAGTCAGCTCTTCCACCCAGGGTGTTAATTTCATTCGCTCACACCCACACTGTGTACAAACATGCAAATCATTAACATTTCCATTTACCAGGCTAGTATAGCCCTGAGCTGCTGGGATTTTTGAAGGAGATAACAATTCAATTTGCAATTATTGCTGCAATTTTTAATTCCCAAGGAAACTTCTGTGCAAGTTGTACTCCCAAGAGCCAAAATGAACACTGTAGGTAACCCTTCAAATTATTTTTGGGAAACGAAAGAAAAAGAAAAGAAAAGAAAGAGAAAGCCTGCCAGTCAGACTTGGGTGAGGGCAGGGATGGGGGGGGGTGGGGGTGGTATTATAGGCCTATTTCAGAAAAGTTCAGTTTGGCTCTAAATTTCAAAGTTTGCCCAGGTGTCTGAATCAACAATTAAATCTTGACTCTTTATGGGAGTCTTTTGTGAAGCATGTGAACAATCATCAATAAATTTACTCTTTCTAAATTCAGAATTGCTACAGGATAGAGGAAAGTGTACCTATTTTTATTCCCCAATGTCTCTACTTAGCTGAGAAAGGTTAAGAATGAACATTTCCAAGTCACATATAACCATGAACTCTGTAACTGCCAACACTGGCAGTTACCATTTATTGCGCACTACTGTGCGCCAGGAGCACCAGGCTCAGCCCTTCATATGCCCACCTTCATCGATACCCAGGGCGACACTGCAGCCAGGAGCACTGCAAAGGGCACTGTGCTAGTGCTGAGGATGGAAGAATGGACCCAGCAGACAGTACTCAGCGTTGGAGCCACTGCCTTATCCCATTTCTCATCTTATTTTTTCTGCTTCAGGCCGGCTGGAACTCACAATGGTAACACAAATGAGTCAAATTTATCAACCGCAAAAAGCATCCATTACTGTAAGAAACAAAAACATTTTCTTATGTTTTGGGTCCTGAGAGCTATAAAAATAAATAAATAAACCCAGACCAGGTGCAGTGGCTCATGCCTGTAATCCCAGCACTTTGGGAGGCCAAGGAGCAGGATCACTTGAGTCCAGGAGTTCGAGACCAGCCTGAGCGACATAGTAAGACCCTGTCTCTACCAAAAAATACAAAATTAGCTGGGCATTGTGGTGTGCACTACAGTCTTAGGTATTCTGGAGGCTAAGGCAAGAGGACAGCTTGAATCCAGTAATTCAAGGTTACAGGAACTTCCAAATTATTATTTTGTTGAACTATTTCAGAGAAATTACAGATGACAACTCTTCCTGCTAAATGCTTTAGTATGACTACCCAAAACAGAGCATGCACCTGCATGGCTCGGTGCATTACACATAATAAAAGAAACAGTTCCCCATTATAATCTGCTACTGAGTTCATATTCAAATCTCCTGAAATGTCCCCCAAATGTCTCTGATGGCTGTTCTTTTTTTTTTTTTTTTGAGACAGAGTCTCGCTTTGTTGCCTAGGCTAGAGTGAGTGCCATGGCGTCAGCCTAGCTCACAGCAACCTCAAACTCCTGGCTCAAGCAATCCTTCTGCCTCAGCCTCCCAAGTAGCTGGGACTACAGGCATGCGCCACCATGCCCGGCTATTTTTTTTATATATATATATATATTAGTTGGCCAATTAATTTCTTTCTATTTATAGTAGAGACGGGGTCTCGCTCTTGCTCAGGCTGGTTTCGAACTCCTGACCTTGAGCAATCCGCCTGCCTCGGCCTCCCAGAGAGCTAGGATTACAGGCGTGAGCCACCACGCCCGTCCTGATGGCTGTTCTGTTCAAAGCAGGCTCCAATCACGGTTTTCAAAGTGACACGTGAGACCAAAGAATCACTGAGGGACAGTCAGAAGGGACGGAACCTGGCAGTAATCAGCAACCCACCTATCCCATCCTAACCCTTTTAAAAAGAAAAAAAATCCTACCATCTGGCCACAAATCACAACTGTTAATATTTCCATGCATTTTCTTCCAGTTCCTTTTTCTTTCCATAAACACATGCTCAGATATACAGTTGTGAATGAACTATCTTGTTACAGATCAAATGCTACTGCAACTTTTTCTGGCAAGTGATGGAGGTAAAGACCCGGTAAAGTCTTGCATGTGCCATCTCTGCCATGCCTGCCAGGCTTGCCAAACTGCTGGCCTCCTGGGTTAATAACTGTGAGAAAAGGCCACTGAATGTGTCAGATGACTGCACTGCCCTGGGACAGTGCTAAAGGTCTCCAATACCAAGCGCACCACTGCACTGCTTTGTGGCCCCACTGGCTTCCTCCACTTCAAGCCCATTCGAACCCTTGATAGACAAAGCAGATGTTAAAAGAGGTCCGAGGTAGATAAACATGAGATTGTTTTTTTACAGAAGATACTTTGAACTTTCTGGAAGAAAGGTACTAAACATTTAAAAGCCATTAATAATGTTCTCTAAACCAAAAATATCACAAAAGATTCAAACTCCTGGATATCAAAACTTTGACTTGCATTATTTCTTTTTATTGAGACAGAGTCTCACTGTGTTGCCTGAGCTAGAGTGCCGTGGCATCGGCCTAGCTCACAGTGACCTCAAACTCCTGGGCTCAAGCAATCATTCTGCCTCAGCCACCCGAATAGCTGGAATGACAGGCATATGCCACCATGCCCGGCTAATTTTTTCTATATATTTTTAGTTGTCCAGCTAATTTCTTTCTACTTTTTTAGTAGAGACAGGATCTTACTGTTGCTCAGGCTGGTCTCGAACTCCTGAGCTCAAACGATCTGCAAATGCACATGCAAAAATAAATAGCCTAGCACTCTCAAACTACTGGGTTCAAGTGATCCTCGCACCTCGGCCTCCCAGAGTGCTAGGATTACAGGCATGAGCCACTGGATTATTTCATAAAAAGTGAAAATTTGCAACAGAGACATATTGTACTGAATAAAACATCTTGAGCTGAACTAAATTCTCAGCTAAGCCATCATACTGAGATATGAATCATTTTATTCCTTAGGAAAACTATCTGTTAATTTTATTTAGACCACGTTAGACTACAAGTGTTTTCTGATCTGGAAGGTGTTTCCCCGTGTGGTTTCAGCTCTGGTGTTGAGCCAAAGTCTCTCAATAGAAGGTTGCCTCCTTGCTTCTTCCTGGAAATGAAGCCCAGGGCTTTCTTACCTTGTTTCCAGGGGCACAGATGGCTTCGTTTCAGGGGTTTCTGTTTCTCAATAGCATTGCCCATTCTAACGCCAGAGGATCACAGGGCCCTTCCGAGCTCAGGCGTCTTTGTTGAACAGCAAATAAGGACTGAGTCAGAACCCAAAAAGGGATTCATCTCTTGGACATCCCAAACCACCCAGCAGCAGAGCCCTGGCTAACCCTCACAAGAACATGAGGAATTCTGCTCTGAAAAGTCTTTGCCTTTCAAACTCTCTTTGGTCCCAGGGAGGAAATCAGAAGAAAAGGCTTGCTATCGCCCTACCGGTGAGCTGCAGTAACCAGTCTATATTAAGCAGCTCTTCCCCACCCACCCCCCACCCCCCGCTTTGACACATTACTCATCAGCACAGCAGCAGCTCAGAGAATGACTATACTTCCAACACTTTCAATGCTGCTTTTCCACTCTAGCTCGGGCAACAGAGTGAGACTCTGTCTCAAAAAAAAAAAAAAAAATACGCTGCTTTTCCCTGGGGAAGAAGTGGGGAATTGGGTGATCAAAAAGCTAAAAGTCATAAATGGACCATTCTGGAGTGTGCAGGGAGAAACATTTTCACATAGACCCTTGTGCTGCACCTTCTGCCTAAAGGTCTCACTCTCAGACCAGGGTGCTCCATGTGACAAGTACCATCAGAGAACACAAGCTGATTTCATTAGAGTGTGTTTCCAAGGGAAAAACAAAATATCAAAAAGCAAGCTACACCTCAGTTTCCAAAGGAAAAAAAACCAAGAGGGACAAACACAGCTAAGAATTTATAACTTCAAAGTTCCCAACTTCCACTCCACTTTGGGAACAATTTTGCTGGAGATGCAATTACCACCTAAATTTTGAAATATGGGTTTCCTGGAAGAAAGAATTGCATGAAATCATACACTCTTGGTAAAAAGGAAGAAAATGTCAAGGTGGACGAAAATATTTCACTTATTTCAATCCCAGAGTTCGAGGCTAGAAAAGTTATTAAAGAATCTCCTGTGGCATAACAGGTAAGAAGATAGTTCTGGAGCCCAAACACCTAGATTCAAATCCCGGCTCTGCCACTTAGCTTTGCCTGCTGAGCACAGCAGCCTCAGTTTCCTCCCCTGTTAAATTGGGAGTAGTGCTAGTCCCACCTCCTCAGCTGTAATGAGGGTCAAATAAGAGAGAATGTTTGTGAAGTACTCAGCTTGCTGCCCAACACTTAGGAAGCCCTTGATGAATATCTGTCATCATTTTTATATCTTAGACTGTGAAACTACATTGACTCAGATGGCAGATTCCTGGCTTCAGTCAATTTAGCCAAAGGCACCAAAGTAAATTTATTCTATGGAGTTGGATAGTACATATGGGTGCAAAGTATAGAACTGGAGTAAAATTTGAAGACAATATTTCAAAAAAGACCCACAGAACCAAAGAGACCAAGTTTAAGAGGCACTTAATGCTCTGTTACAACTTCTGGGCGCCATCGGCCATTGTGTTATACCAGCCCCTGCCTGTTCTGAAGGAGGGGGAAAGAATCTTGCCAATTTATGCAAAATGAATAAAGCCAAATCCAAATCTCTATGAGATCTTAAGGCTTCCAATTTGATCTGCCAATATAGAAATAATTTTTACAAAATCATAGCCTGAGATCCGAACTTAGCAAATAAAAAGCACATGTTTGTTTCACCTTCCTGCTGACACAGCAGGAAAAAGCAAATGCAAGAAGGCCCCCCCAACCCCCTGACTTCCCTCACTGAG